TAGTATATTTTTTAGTATTTTATTTAATAAATTTTTTAATACTTTATTTAACTTATTTTTTAATTAGTATTTTATTAGGTATTTTATTTAGTATATTTTTTATTATATATTTTAGTATATTTTTTAGTATTTTATTTAATAAATTTTTTAGTATTTTAGTTAATATATTTTTTAGTATTTTATTTAATACATTTTTTGGCATTTTATTTAATATATTTTTTAGTATTCTATTTAGTAATTTTTTTAGCATAATATTTAATATATTTTTTAATATTTTATTTAATATATTTTTTAGTATTTTATTTAATATTTTTTGGTATATATTTTAATATATTTTTTGGTATATTTTTTGATATTTTATTTGACAAATTTCTGGCATTCTATCTAGTTAAGGTCCGGTAGTGCCCATTACGATCTGGAAGTCGCGGTTGAGGTCCGGCAGTGCCCATTGGGATCTGGAAGTCGCGGTTGAGGTCCGGCAATGCCCATTGCGATCTGGAAGTCGGTTGAGGTCCGGCAATGCCCACTGGGATCTGGAACTCGCGGTAGAGGTCCGGCAGTGCCCGCTGGGATCTGGAGCTCGCGGTGGAGGTGGGATCTGGAACTCGCGGTGGAGGTCCGGCGGTGCCCACTGGAATCTAGAGCTCGCGGTGGAGGTCCGGCAATGCCCACTGGGATCTGGCGCTCGCGTTGGAGGGTCCGGCTATGTCCACTGGGATGTGGAGTGCGAGGAGGAGGAGGAGGAGGAGGAGAATACGGAAACGGAGGAAGAGAGTAATTCTGATAAAATTTAATATCCCTTACCTAACAAATAGAAAAAAATTATTCCTAATTTTTTTTTTAAAATTATAAATGAATTAAATTAAATTTTATTTTTCAGTTTCATGTACAATTCATTGAAACCACCTGCCTCGCATGTCCCTTCGCCAGGTGGATAGGATCGATCTACTTGTACAATGGCTCTAAAAAAACAACAACTTCGTAAATAACTGTTACTAAACACCATTTAATAACTTCGTAAGTGCTAGCCCTGCTGGCACCTATTTGTATTCCATTATTACGCAATCTCCATTTCAACAACTTAACCTTCACCATAACCACCAACCTCACCCTAAATTCCTTCAAAGGGAACTTCCTCTACCTATTGCTCGAGCTGACCGCTCTTAAAGAGCACTATGGCAACTTCGAATACTGGAAAGTCTAGCACCGAGCTAGACACTCAAAGCCCCCGCCTACAATATGAATCGTCCGTCGTCCCACAAGACGGCCAATTGCACCCAAGGTTCCAAAACAAAGTCAACACCAGCTGGCAATACTTCGAAACGCCAAGCTGTGGAAAGCATGACCTTCCAACTTGAAAGCGGCATAATGATGTTTGAAAACTCCACAGGTACTAAATAACCAGACTGCGCGATAATGAACCCTGGAATTTCGTCCTTCCTCATAGGCATAGAACCGCTGATGCGATACCTCGAGCATGTAGGCAAGCTTGGATTTCCGATTAACCAGATCAAGTTCAAGAAGGCAGATCGTACCTTTCATTTTGGCGGCGATTACAAGGCTGTCAGTCCACTTGTCAATCTACCTCAACAACAAGTTTGGTTTAGTCCAAGCCTTTGTACTTCGAAGTAAAATACCAATATTATTTGCCCGGCCCATTGCCAAAACAATTAAACTAATTATGGCCTTCCTCAACGACCGACTGCAATATAATAATGGTAAATGGCGTATTACAACTTTGGGAAAACATATAGGCATTCCTGTTGTCCTTACTGAGAATTACGACCCTTCCATCGACATCAATAACCCTAAGTTTGACTTGGTGTTTAAAGATGAGAAAGGCCCCAACTACAACCCCGACGAGTTCAAGGAATCTAAAGAAATCTATATAATTAATAATGCAGTTATTTCTAAAGACTCCAATGTCCTCAAAACCACTCAGCTAAAGTCCCTTGACACCTCAGTACTAACCCAACTCAATGCAATAGAAGGCAGACCTTGCACGACATAAACTTACGTCATTCGAAATAACTATGGGAAATTTACTACAACTCCCACCAGCGCGAGTTCATGAAACTGCTAGATAAACATCAACGTAAAGAAATTTTTCTATCGTCCATTTGTAGACCTTGGTCTCCAATACAGAATATCAATGCCAAGACGCCGCAGTATCAAGAATAACTTCAACAACTACGAAATTAGCATCATAGAGTACACCTGCGGTTTTGCAGGCGCATTTATTATGCCAACTTGGAGCAACCTTCACTGGCTTTGTAATAGCATACCAGCGCATTGTTAACTCTGTCAGGTCACGGTGCCAAGTTCAGCCAATGCCAGCACGGCGCTATCTGCAAAAATAACAACGAACAATGGCTACCAGTCCGAAAGGACACAATTCTTTTGACAAAGAAGCTGGCCGTGGCCCAAGCCATGAATCGACAATGCTCTGGAAATCACCAATATTGCCGTCTTAAAGATTCACTTTGTGGATTTCAAATGCATCGTACAACCTACATGGAGAACTACCAGCCTGTTATGGCATCAACTCTTGCGGCAGCTATGGTAACACCTGAAGACCCATACAACTGGGAACATGGCTATGCCGTACAAGAGATCACCGAGCATATTGGTAAGCTCGTGGAACTCCATGTCGAAGGCAAGTCTGCAGCTCTTCGAGTTGTGCAGAAGTTCCACAGAGACCTTAGTTACTCTTCAACGGCATCCCTGGCCCCCTCGTTGAACTTTTAAGCTCCAGAGATGCAAGCCCTGATGTTTTACAAGTTGCCGGTTCCCATGTTTGCTCAGCATATCAGCGCTACAAAAAACCCAATCAAACTGCACGATCTACTTTGGCCAAAAGCGACCACTTCAACCAATGACTTCAAGCTGATAAAGATGGTAAGAAGAAGTTTGCGGTTCTTTCATGGGTTAACTTTACCACCAAGTACCTGAGAAGGGGGGAACGAAAGCCAGCATCCCATCTACCCCTTTTTTCCCCCCCTAATTTTTCACCCGCAGACTTTTCCCCCACATACTTTTCACCCAGAGACTCTTCACCCAGAAACCCTTCTTGCACATACTTTTCACCCAGAAACTCTTCACCCAGAAACTCTTCACCAAGAAAATCTTCTTGCACATACTTTTCACCCAGAGACTCTTCACCCAGAAACTCTTCTTGCACAGACTTTTCACCCAGAGACTCTTATTCAGAAACTCTTCTTGCTCACCCTTTTCACCGATATACTTTTCACCCAGAGACGCTTCCCCAGAAACTCTTCTTGCACGTACTTTTAACCCATATACTTTTCACCCAGGGGCTCTTCACCCAGAAACCCTTCTTGCACAGACTTTTCGCCCATATACTTTTCACCCAGGGACTCTTCAGCCAGAAACTCTTCACCAAGAAACTCTCCTTACACATACTTTTCACCTATATACTTTTCACCCAGAGACTCTTCACCCAGAAACTCTTCTTGCACATACTTTTCACCCATATACTTTTCACCCAGAGACTCTTCACCCAGAAACTCATCTTGCACGTACTTTTTACCCATATGCTGCAAACTTTTCACCCAGAGACTCTTCACCCAGAAACTCTTCTTGCACATACTTTTTACCCATATACTTTTCACCCAGAGACTCTTCACCCAGAAACTCTTCTTGCACGTACTTTTCGCCCATATACTTTTCACCCAGAGACTCTTCAACCAGAAACTCTTCTCGCACAGGCTTTTCACCCAGAGACTCTTCACCCAGAAACTCTTCTTGCACATACTTTTCACCCATATACTTTTCACCCAGAGACTCTTCACCCAGAAACTCTTCTTGCAAGTACTTTTTACCCATATAATTTTCACCCAGAGACTCTTCACCCAGAATCTCTTCTTGCACAGGCTTTTCACCCATATACTTTTTACTCAGAAACTCTTCACCCAGAAACTCTTCTTGCACAGACTTGTCACCCATATACCTTTCACCCAGAGACTCTTCTTGCACATACTTTAGACTCGATGGCAAGGTCACCCGCTCCAGGAATTGGTTGAACTTCTGGTCAAGAAAGGAGACTATCAAGTACCTCTCCTGGCTTTGGAACTGAGAGCCAAAACTCAAGCTTTGAAGACTCGATGGCAAGGTCACCCGCTCCAGGCTTTGGTTGAAACAATGGCCAAAGCTCAAGCTTTGAAGACTCGATGGCAAGGTCACCCGCTCCAGGCTTTGGTCGAAATTCCTGCCGAAACTCAAGCTTTGAAGACTCGATGGCAAGGTCACCCACTCCAGGCTTTGGTTGAACCACTCGCCAAAACTCAAGCTTTGAAGACTTGATGGCAATGTCACCCGCTCCAGGCTTTGGTTGAAATACTCGCCAAAACTCAAGCTTTGAAGACTCGATGGCAAGGTCACGCTCTCCAGGCTTTGGTCGAAATTCCTGCCAAAAATCACGCTTTGAAGACTCGATGGCAAGGTCACTCGCTCCAGGCTTTGGTTGAAATGAAAGCCAAAGCTCAAGCTTTGAAGACTCGATGGCAAGGTCACCCGCTCCAGGCTTTGGTCGAAATTCCTGCCAAAAATCAGGCTTTGAAGAGTCGATGGCAAGGTCACTCGCTCCAGGCTTTGGTTGAAATGAAAGCCAAAACTCAAGCTTTGAAGACTTGATGGCAAGGTCACCCGCTCCAGGCTTTGGTCAAAGTCAGCGCCAAAACTCAAGCTTTGAAGACTCGATGGCAAGGTCACGTTCTCCAGGCTTTGGTTGAAACTGTTGCCAAAGGTCAGGCTTGCAAGGCTGCAGGGGAGATGGTGTAAATATTCTCCGTGCGTTGCTCCTTCAAGATGTGTAACACCTTCTAGTGCAAACTCTCTCTCACAATTTGGGAGCTCACAGACATAACGCCATGCTGTATACACATCAGTTGGTATGTAAGTGCAGGACAGCACTGCGGTTTTTCCAACAATCCCTTGGTCTCCCAAGTTTTCATTCAGCGTCAGCTGTCCATTCACATGATGCACGACGAGCTTTGCGCCTGGCTTGCATGAAAGCTTCCCTGACACGAACCTGCGCAGGTCAGACCCAGCCATGGAGCGACTGACTCTCAGCGTCACTCCTTCTCCAGTCAAGCACAGCACCTGAAGCTCGACCTCATCAGTCTCATCTGCTGCACCTTTAGCAGCAAATGATGGGTCCACATAGCCATGCTGTGCAGCGGACATTCCTCAAAAATTACACACATTTTCATACATTTTCCAGTTTGGCCGAAAGGTCTTCAACATTTCAACGCTGAAATACAATATAGAACCGATACTTTTGACCATTAAAGTACCGCAACATGTATTCCAACGCCATTTCTTTAGGTTTGATGTTAGCTTTCAGGGCCGCTGCGTGATGGGGTGCAATCAATTTCGGCCCTGCCTGAGTCACAGCAAATTGTAAAGCTTCATCATCGGCTTTGTTCACGAATGGGACATCCCAAACTCCACTGGTTTAGAAAATCAATGCAAATAACTTATCGTACAGGATGGGGCCCAATAGTTAGCTAAGTTGTTTTAGAACTATAATAATAATAATAACATAGACCCGGGCAAGCCGGCGGCGGAAGTTTCCCAAACATAAATGACCTATAGTTCAAAGACAACCTGTCCCGACCGTGTCCTTCCCTCGACAACCGTTTGATTTTTTCAGCGAGAGACGAAGCAAAGTCTTCACACTCCACACTCCACACTGCACTCTTCGCACTCCAAACTTGAAACTTCACACTCCACACTTCACACTTCACACTTCGCACTTCACAGTCCACACTTCTCACTTCCCACTGCTTCCTTCACACTCCAAACCTCACACTTCACACTGCGCGCTTCGCACTCCAAACTTAAACTTCACACTCCACACTTCACACTTCTCACTTCCCACTGCTTCCTTCACACTGCACACTTCACACTGCACTCTTCACGCCCCACACTTCACACTGCTCTAATCCTACGTGCAACAAAAAACACTAGCGCCAAAATGGAGAAAATCTGCTAACAAATCCATTTCGCAGCCTTCATGCAGCCAGTCCAAGACGATTTACGAGATCCAGCTGCAAAAGACAATAGTATTACAAATGCAGCCACAGCACGAAGCAACTTTGACGCAGCCATTGCAATAGGATCTGCAGAGACTGAGTTGCAAACCACAATAGAACTACGCGCAACGGCGTCGGAAATTGTAGCTCCAAAACCGGATCTCGACGCCAGAGCGAAAAAAAAAGATTTTGAAGCACTTTTTAAAAGGATTTTTAGAAGGAAAATCATTAGCGCCAAAATGGAGAAAATCTGCTGACAAATCACTGTGGCAGCCTTCATGCAGCCACTCCAATACGATTTACGAAGTCGAGCTGCAAAAGACAATAGTATTACGAATGCAGCCACCGCACGAAGCAACCTTGACGCAGCCATTACAATGCGACCTGCAGAGACTGAGTTGCAAAACACAATAGAACTACGCGCAACGGCGTCGGAAATTGTAGCTCCAAAACCGGATCTCGACGCGAGAGCGAAAAAAAGACGATTTTGAAGCACCTTTTAAAAGGATTTTTAGAAGGAAAATCACTAGCGCCAAAATGGAGAAAATCTGCTGACAAATCACTGTCGCAGCCTTCATGCAGCCACTCCAATACGATTTACGAGATCCAGCTGCAAAAGACACGACGACTAGTATTACGAATGCAGCCACAGCACGAAGCAACCTTGACGCAGCCATTACAATGCGATCTGCAGAGACTGAGTTGCAAAACACAATAGAACTACGCACAACGGCGTCGGAAATTGTAGCTCCAAAACCGGATCTCGACGCCAGAGCGAAAAAAAGACGATTTTGAAGCACTTTCTAAAAGGATTTTTAGAAGGAAATTCACTAGCGCCAAAATTAAGAAAATCTGCTGACAAATCACTGTGGCAGCCTTCATGCAGCCACTCCAATACAATTTACGAAGTCCAGCTGCAAAAGACAATAGTATTACCAATGCAGCCACAGCAAAAAGCAACCTTGACGCAACCATTTACACTGCGGGAACGATCCTACAGTTGCAAAGCACAATGGAATTCCATCGGCAACTCATCCACCAGCAACACTTGCAATCCCATTTACATTGAGGGAACGATCCTAGAGTTGCAAATCACAATGGAATTCCATCGGAAACTCATCCACCAGCACCACTTGCAATCCCATTTACATTGCGGGAACGATCCTACAGTTGCAAATCACAATGGAATTCTGTCGACCACACATGCACGAAAAACCGTTGACACCCCATTTACAATGCGGAACCGATCCGAGCATGATCCGAACATGATCCGAGCATGATCCGACCACACACGAGACCGTCTCGCACCCGTCGCACCGCAGAGGTAGATCATCGACGTTCGGGGACGGACTTTGTATGGAAAAACATAGGCTTTCGTGCATTTGCTATCTCTCAAAAACGCATTTCGTGCGAGACTTCTTCCAAAACTCCATCGGCAACTCCTCCACCAGCACCACTTGCAATCCCATTTACAGTGAGGGAACGATCCTAGAGTTGCAAATCACAATGGAATTCCATCGGCAACTCATCCACAAGCACCACTTGCAACCCCATTTACATTGCGGGAACGATCCTACAGTTGCAAATCACAATGGAATTCTGTCGACCGCACGTGCACGAAAAACACTTGAAACCCCATTTACAATGCGGAACCGATCCGACCATGATCCGACCATGATCCGAGAATGATCCG